CAAAAACACAAAATAAGTATTTATATTTGTGTACAAGCTGTTTAGATTGTCAAAAAGCCTGTGTTTTTAGGGTTATTAACAGAGTTTGTGTACTCAGACCAGTAATATTTGGGGTCACAAGTTTTTGCCATGGATATTTTGTGGGTCAGAAGATAAAAAGTTTGGGAACCACTGATTTAGGAAACTTTTACATCACARTTAATTTTGCAYTACCYTGATATTTGCATAACATTCTGTKGTMATCAGTGWAAATGAATAGCATCAGCTTGCTGTGGCACTTCCTGCAGAAAAATAATCTGAAAAGGCAAAGTAAAAGTTTATCAAACAGGTATTGCATGTAAAGTTTTAGGATTAAAGTTATTTAAAGATGGCGGCAATCCACTATGGCCTTTGCTCTGCTCCAAAAAGTCATTAGCTAGATTTTTCCTGCAACAGGTAAGATATGAAGCGTTCACAACTCTTCCACAGAACCCCACTTYAAAGATCTGAAGCAACAATGAGGCTGCCGTTGTTTGTCGTGGCAGTGCACCTAATTCCCTGCWGCTCCTCTGTACTCCAACATGAGCCTGTAAACCTCCGAGAAATCTAGTTTCTCTGCAGTTGATTGAAACGTGAAAATCCTTCAAAACGGTCCTTCTCCTTTTGATTTGTTCTCTCTCASTTTTGCCTGGAAAGCAGCTGAACACTTGAAAACCTGTGGATTTCCCAAGCCACAAACATGACAGTAGCAGTGACTTTAGCTTATGTTGTGTTTCTGCAGCCCTTTATTTACCAGACTACCAGTGAAATCWGGCTTTCAAAAAATGAGAAATGACAAATGACATTTGGTTTTATTCCACCGTATAAAGATTGCTSTCATTACACATCATATATCACCCTCAGAATGTAATCTATTTGACAGCCCCTCTGTGTATAATATGTTTTATGTTGCATTTGTGTGATTGCTCTGAGAGTGGAGACTGAAAATCTCATCTCGCGGTGCAGCTTTTTAAGAATGTGAAACACAGGAGGCCAAAACGTGACGTCGACGCTCATTCTTTATTGCCCGCTGACAGAGGCAACGGACGATAATGTTTTCACTTGYAGGAAAATATCTGAATGGATTCAAACAAAGCTGTCAGAATGTAATTGTTGGATGTACATCTGTTGGAGTCAACCCAATTCAAGCTGCCCGTAACAACAAACTGACTCAAAACATGACAATAACTGACAAATACTGGGCTAAAGTTTAGTGTAGTAGTAACCAAAAGAAACTCATATCAATTCTGTCTGTCAGAAAAATATCCCAGAAACCACTGTACAGAATTTCAATGAAATGTTTAGGAAATTAATTATTAGCTGTAAATCTAAGACTCAAGTTGGCTCAGCTAATTGACCATAGCCAACATAAAAATGCCAAAAAAGGTCAGTTTTACAGATGTTGAGTTCAAATTTGGTGTGGTAGTAGAGAGAAGCCCTCAACTCAGAACTTTATCACATCTTTACACAATTTGATCAAATCGTCARCATTGTCTATTGTCACCATAAGTACTCCTGAGTAGTGTTTTGATGGTCACTTTTAACCCCCCATGTGAAGACATGGGTAAAGAAGCTGAGGTTAAAGCTGGGTTTAAATTTTCAAAACAAGATATTTGTTCCTTCAATGTGGTAACTGCAACTTTTTAACTGTACTAGATATGTATATAAATGCCTCAGCTCACAATCTTCACATGGTTAGTACTGCTTATTTGCTGCTCTCATGTTCATCACTGACAGCAATGCATTGACACATCATTGTGAGTTGTACTCTACTTCTGTCCTGCTCTGGCCACTAGAAGTAACAATATGGCTTTTTGTTTTGTTTTGTTTGTTTGTTTGTTTTTTTACATTATTTGGACTGTCCATACATACAGTTTGTAATCTAATTGTACAGAAAAGTGCTGTTCCTTACTTGTTCTGTTCATGTGACATTTTGTTGCTTTCAGTTCCATTTGCACAAACAGAAATGAGTAAAACGTTATTGCTTAATCTGCACCTTTTGCATGAAATATGTTGCAGAATGATTGAAAACGAACAGATTTAACATGTTTGAATGTGTTTAAATTGAGGAGATCTGTGATTAATTCTATTATGTTGTTCTTAGTTTTATTTTAAGTGTGTTTAATTTTCTTATAATTCCTAATTCCTTTATGAACGTGTAACTTGTACTTACTGCTATCTTAGCCAGGATTCTCTTGAAAATTTGTTGTTGTTTTTTTTATCTCAGTGGGATTTTTTTACCCCAAAGGTTTATTAATAATAAAGTTATCTTAGTTTAAAACTTTGGTACAAAAAGCAGTATGCATTCCTTTAAGCAAGGAATATGCTAAAAGACCTTTATTTCATCAGAATGCATCAATGCTATATAAATAAATAACAACAATATAAATCATTAAAATGATAACGATGCAAGCTTGTAAGAGGTTGGTTCTGTGAAGTTGTCTCACCAGTAATTTACAGATCTTAAGGTGCATGCTTACATAAATTATTCATGAGGACATTTTACCCTTGTGAGCAGGGGTGGTTCTAGGGGCGGGGCCACAGGGGCATTGGCCCCAGCTGAAATCTGATTGGTCCCCTGAAGTGCCCCTGTCCTGTCACTCATCTGTCCTTTACCTGGGAGTGATGATGGTGTATGCAGTTCCATTTTTAAACACTAGTGGTACTAAAGAGTCAAATAGTAAAGTCCAGAATGAATCAAGCTCACAGAATTCTTCTCTTTAGAAATTTTGAACAATCCTGCAAAAAGGTCTTTCAACTGAGAAATGATGGCTGGATTTTCTCATGTTTGAGAATATTTTTTCTGTGTTCAGATAAATGTATGAAAAACTGGTGAGGAGAATTTACTGTGCACACCATTTATAAAGGCACCCCTTATAAATGGCTTATAAAGAGTTTATAGATAGGTTACAAATTCATCTTTAAAATCATTATTAAATGTTTATTATGCAATAATTAATGACGAGAATGTGACAAAACTGTCCAGTTTCTTACCAAATAATGAGAAAAATCTATTCATGTATCTAAAGGTGCTTATTAAACATTTCAGACTAGTTTACTACATTGTAAGTAAAATAACTATAAGAAATGCATATTTTAACATTAATATTGTACTGTATTATAAATATTCACAACTGTCAAATGAAGACTTATAAAGTGTAATACAGTACACTATTTACCAATGACAAATAAACATTTATAAATGCCAAAAGTTAGTCTTTAATGTGAAAAATCA